CGGGCCCGGTGGGGGGGGGGGGGGGATCCCAGTACAGACCAGTGGGACCAGAATGGGCTGGGGGGATCCCAGTATGGACCAGTATGGGCTGGGGGGGGATCCCAATATGGACCAGTATGGGCTGAGGGGACTGGGAGGGGGTTCCCAGTATGGCCCAGTTGGGACCAGTATAGGCTGGGAAGGGGATCCCAGTATGGACCAGTGGGACCAGCTTGGGCTGGGGGGGATCCCAGTATGGGCTGGGGTGGGGGGAGAGGGTTCCCAGTACATCCCAGTTGGGGCTCAGGGCTCTCCCAGTATGGGCTGGGGTGGGGGGAGAGGATTCCCAGTACATCCCAGTTTGGGCTCAGGGCTCTCCCAGTACACCGCGGGGGGGGCCGGGAGGGGGGTCCTCGTGCCCTCCCAGTCCCTCCCAGTCCCTCCCAGTCCCACCAGTGACACCCCCCCTCCCCCCACAGCGCACGAGGAGCGGCCCCGCCCCCCCCGAGGGGCGGCCCCGCCCCCCCAAATAAACTGGGAGCGACTGGTTCTTACTGGGAGTGACTGGTTCTTACTGGGGAGGAGCTGGTTCTTACTGGGGGGGGCCGATTCTTACTGGGAGTGACTGGTTCTTACTGGGAGTGACTGGTTCTTACTGGGGGATCGTTTTCCGGGAGGGGGGAGGGGAAAAGGAGAGGGAGGGGGAGGGGGGCGCTCGATCCCGCCTACCGTGACGTCATCACTGCGCCAGTGACGTCATCGGACGGCGGCGCGAGCGGGGCCGGGACCGGTGAGTGGGGGAGGGGCGGGGGGGGAGGGGGAGGGTCCGGGGGGGTCCCGGGGGGGTCCCGGGGTGGGGGGAGGGGTCCGAGGGACCCCCCGGGTGGGGGAGGGGCCGGACGTGTCCTCAGGGGGGGGGAGGGGTCCCAGTATGGCCCAGTTTGGGGGTTGGAGGGTTCCCAGTATGAGGGGGGGGGGGCCCGGGGGGGATCCCAGTATGACCCAGTTTGAGGGGCAGAGTTCTCACAGTCCGTCCCAGTTGGGGTGTGGGGCTCTCCCAGTCCATCCCAGTCGGGCTCAGGTCATTCCCAGTCCGTCCCAGGCCATCCCAGTCCATCCCAGTCCATCCTGGGTCATTCCCAGTCCATCCCAGTTTGGGCTCAGTTCCTCCCAGGTCATTCCCAGTCTGTCCCAGTCCATCCCAGGTCATTCCCAGTGGGTCCCAGTGCATCCCAGTCCATCCCAGTTGGACTCAGTCCCTCCCAGTCCCTCCCAGGTCATTCCCAGTGGTTCCCAGTCCCTCCCAGTGGGTCCCAGTGCTCCCAGTTTGGCCATGACGAGCGACCTGGACGTGTTTGTGGGGAACACGACGCTCATCGACGAGGAGGTTTATCGGCTCTGGCTGGACGGGCACTCAGGTGAGGGACACCTGGGGACACCTGGGGACAGGTGGGACACCTGGGACACCTGGGACACCTGGGGACAGGTGGGACACCTGGGACACCTGGGACACCTGGGGACAGCTGGGATACCTGGGGACAGGTGGGACACACCTGGGGACACCTGGGATACCTGGGACACCTGGGGACACACCTGGGATACCTGGGGACACCTGGGACACCTGGGGCACCTGGGGACACCTGGGAACAGCTGGGACACACCTGGGACACACCTGGGGACACCTGGGGACACCTGGGGGGACATCTGGGGACACCTGGGGACAGGTAGGGACACCTGGGGACAGCTGAGACACACCTGGGGACACCTGGGCACAGCTGGGGACACCTGGGATACCTGGGGACACCTGGGACAGGTGGGACACACCTGGGGACACCTGGGACAGATGGGGACACCTGGGACAGGTGGGGACACACCTGGGGACACCTGGGAACAGCTGGGACAGGTGGGACACACCTGGGGACACCCGGGGACACACCTGGGACACACCTGGGGACAGATGTCCCCCCAATGTCCCCAATGTCCCCAAATCCCCCCAATGTCCCCAATGTCCCCAATGTCCCCAATGTCCCCCCAATCCCCCCAATATCCCCCAATGTCCCCAATGTCCCCAATGTCCCCAATGTCCCCAAATCCCCCCAATGTCCCCCCAATGTCCCCAATGTCCCCCCTGTCCCCAGTGGCCGAGGCGGTGGCCCGGCGGCTCCGGGGGGGTGTCCTGGAGCGGGAGGGGACGTCGGTGGCCGTCCTGCAGAGCGACACCCGCGACCACTACAGAACGTTCCAGATGCTGGAGCGGCTCCTCCACGCGCCCCCCCGGCTCCTGCAGCAGCTCCTCTTCCAGATCCCCCCCGAGCGCCAGGCCATGCTCGTCCAGAGGTACTGGGAGCACTGGGAGGGCACTGGGAGGGGATGGGAGAGCCACTGGGAGCACT